CGACATGTTGAATGAATCTAAAGAAAAACATTGACCTTCATGAAGCACTGCAAAGAGACACAGTTACATGTTTAGGTATATACAGACCTACATCCAAATACACTGCAGTACCTACAGTAACTTACAGGCCAAGGAACTTTTTTCATTATTAGGCTGACTGTAGGTTGATCTATTTTGATACAGAAGTTCCATGCCTACAAAAATACCACTCCTGCAAATACTATTGCATTTAGACAGCAAAACTGAAAACTCCCTATAAAGCTCCCTGTAATGATCCACCTGATATGCACAAAATAAATACATTTTGTGATTCTCCAGAGGAAACTACATTTGAACCTGAATTCACATTTGTGTACAACAGTTCAGCTGTTCTCTTTAGCATAAGTATTTAGGTGTACAAGGTCATGTTAGATCAGATTAGCAGGTCAGAAGTAATTAATGAAGTTTCCATCTGCATTAATGGCACACAGCTCCTCTCTCAGTGTGAAAACAGTTCAGATCCTGCTGCTGTGTGATGCTACAGCCGATTAACTAAGTGAAAGAAAAGAAGGCATCACTCTACGCTCAGTGTGAGACATTGTCTGAAAGCTGATTTCTAGATTTGTATAATGCTGGAAAACTTAAGGAGCTGGAACTGAGCTCTGACAGGAAGTGATCTCCGCTCCTGTGCACTGTGGCTCAACTTTACCTCCCGGTTAAGGCACATACTCCAAAACTGCCACATCCATGACCTCTCTACACTATCAATTGTCAAATAAAGGCAAAATGCCACACAACCACATAAATTCAACAGCTTGACATTCTGTAACAGAATTAAAACTCACCTCAGAAGTAGGAGAGCAAAAGCATCACTGCCTGTCAGACATCAGGCTGTAGTAATGAAGTTCAATCATCAGCAGCTGAACTAAGGTACGTTCAAAACAAACTAAGTCGCAAGACAAGCCGTCTAACCACGGTGGAAAATAAATGCATTCATAGCTGTTTTATTTATTTGTTGTGTTGCACTTGTTTGTAGACAAGTCACAGAAATTGAGGGAGTCCTGTGATCTTGACAAGAGGTGTTGGAGGACTGTATTTCAGACGTTGTTCATTCTGACACCTTTAGGGACAAAAGCCATCAACTGTAAATGGCTGACATTAATTTCTGGAATGTGTTTTGATCTACATTGGTCTACAAAGCAAAGATTTTATTATAGTCACTGTGACAAACAGGAGAATCCAACAGGCTTTTAACTTCTACACAAAATTGTCATGCATGTAAATTTTTGCATTTGGTAAACAACCAGCTGGACACTTTTGAACCCAAGTGAAGCTTTGCTGACTGCAGCTGCCTCTTACTCCTTGAATCTGTATGTTTGCAGGACTTGTTCTTTGACAATTCATCACAAATGTTGACGTTTGTACTGACTGCTCAATTCTGCCTATGTTGTTGTTACGCATCTCATTTATGCATCTGCTGAAGCGACAGTAAGAATTACACTTAAATCCATATGTTCCTTCAGAAACCCATGGGAGACATTACAGATTCCACACCATTTTTTGCTGTTGTCCATAGTTTAAAAAGGGGGAATATGCACACAGCTCTCTCACCAGCAAGTAGATGAAGTACTCCTACACCCAGGATTGGGGTGAATGTACGGCACAGGCAGGCACAGACCCCAACATGGACACTGAGGAATACCAGCGCCAGTGACACCAAGGGCAGGAGAAACTGGCACCTCCACAAGTCTGCACCAAAGACATTGATTACAGGATGAACTCCGAACATGTGCATCCACATTTTCTAATATTCACTGGTGTGCACATAAAGACAGTGGCAGGAGCTGAACGGTGAAAGATGAGAACAAGCTCTTTATAGGGAGCAACAATTTCAGGTAAAGACAATTGATTGGTGAAAAGAAATTAAGAACTTGATTGACATGGTTGCCTAAAAATTACAAACCTATGGGCTTAGAAAAAGCTGTACGTATGTAAAACGCTCTCTACACTTTGGACTTACAGAAGAAAAACTAACATATTATTAGTATTTGTACAAAATACAGATAAGCTTTTTTTCGAGAAAGATAGACTCACATGTTCTGAGCAGATCTTCATCGTTGAGCTCTTCAGGGTGTTTTAACTTTACGGCGAACTGCTGAGGAAGAGTGAAGCTCACACACCAGGTCTCCAGCTTGGGGTCTAAAATCAAAGTCAGAGAGCATAAATCTAACCGTTGTCGTCATCATTTATCAATATAATATCTAGAATGTAGTGTACGGCTGGACAATATGACAAAACATTAGATGCATTGTTTATACAAAGGCAGCCACTGCTTTGAAATTTCTGGATGTGCTACAGAAAACGTTGCAAATAAATGGGCAGGACCGAATTATGGGAACATTGGATTTACACGATTCTCAGTTAAATTTATTTAAACCTGACTAGAACTGATATATACCATTACATACAGTGATGTGTCCACAAATCCCAATGTGTTCAAGTTCAAAGGGCTTTATTGTCATTGCTAATGTGAAGTACGTATTCATAACCTTTATGTTTCCCATTGATGCTTTAGCTTTTCCCATGTAATTAAAGTCAGATCAAAAATCAAACAGTTTTGTATTTTGTTGACATTTAATTTGGCTAAAAGCTCAAACTTTATTGCCCCAATACTAAATTCAGTTAAAATCTTAAGATGCCTTCTCAGGAGACATGGTCAGTGTCTCATGTGTGTGATCTTAACTTGGACAGTCAATAAAATATAATGCTTCAAACAAAGAACCTCGAGGATTCATCACATGACAAAACATTTACTGAAAAGCTGCACAGGTGGGCCACTATGAACAAGGAAGTAATACCTGGCTCGTCGAACCAATGTGACTGGCTGGGCACCATGATGCACCTCCACCACAGTCCCAGAGTGCCGTTGAGACGAAACATGGCACCGCTGTATTTCTTCTCGTTAAAGTCGCCATTGATAAACTCCCCTTTGAGCTCCGAGGCGTTGCTGCCCTTGTGTTTGATCGGTGGACTGCTGTACTGGTACCAGTGTTGAGTTCCCACGGCCACAGAGAGGTACACTGTTGCCAGCAGGCTCAGTACCGAGCCGATCACCAGAGCTGTGGCATAACGATTATCCACCATGATCTCTGGGATGATAGCTGCTTAAAAACTTATTTACCAACAGAAAACAGATATTTTTTTTTAACTAAACAAAAAACTGATAAGTTTGGGCTTTTACTTCTGGTGTGTGAAGAAGCCTGAGTGGGTTAAAAATGATATTTCCACTTGTTGTTTTGGCACCACGGCATGTCTGTGAATTATTGTCAGTTGGCGGTGTCACAGTATCCAAGCATTGTATTTCATTCTGGCACGTTGCTGCATTGCAAGAGCTGTCCCACACCGAGAGACCTTCATAACCTGCTGAGGAATCAAAGATACACACAGGTTAATTTTAGCTTAGGTGCATTTTGGCTAAAAGTTGAGTGATTTCATATATTTCATATGCCTGACTATACCTAACTGCTGTTGTGCCAAAGAGTGTTAATCTGTCAAAAACTGACTGACCATCCGTGGGAACAATCATCCTTATGCCTTTGCATTAATCTGCCTACTCTGTGCAATTGATTATAACTAATCCAGTTGTTTTAACCTGTGAAATTAGTTTTGAGGGAACAGTGCAAGTCATTTAATGCTGTTTTTTATTTGCCATAAAGTGACAGCAGCCTCCACATTGTCACTGGAATGTTATGTATATATGAAAACGACTTGAAATCATCCACAAGTTTATATTTTAATGACTAGAACAGTAGGCTAATTGCAAATTGCATTACTGTATATTATATATAAAACCCATCTGCAAATTATGCATACTACAGTCTAAACAACTATATTAGACATGCCAAAAATATAAAGCCTAAAAATAGGAAACAATACAACAGTTTTACCTATAATCATCCTGAATGTCAGGCCTGATTACACTACAAACAGCTAACATTTCTGTTGAACACAATCCCACAGTCACTAGACATGTTAAAGCTTCACAAAGACACACTTTGTTTTGTTGCCACAGGCACAAAGTTGTGAGTATTTACACGTTATGACTGTTCCATCCAGAAAAGCACCGCAGACGGATGCAAACTGGGTGATACAGCTTTAACAAGAAGCGTGCAATCAGTTTTTGACATACGATTTGATACCTGCAAGCTAAAAAATGACAACTGTAAGGCGTTGTTATTGAATTAGGGGTGTTGTATACGTCTCAAGCAGCTAAAAGTGACAAAGGCAGCTTCCTGAGCCGTGTAGGAAGTTAGCATGTTACCGGCTAGCTAACGCTAAGCTAAGCTAGTTAGAGCTGGCTACGTGGCTTACGTAGGTGTGTTATTGACAATTTAACTGTAAATATTTCATTTGAGTTTCTTTTTTACCTCATTGCTGGAAAAAAACTTTTTTTTAAAATGCAGTCTTATCTTGTATGCTCGCTAAATTTCCAGCAGGCCTCCCCCATCTTCTTCTACGCTACTAAGTTTTCTTCCTGTTCATTTCTTCTTCGGCGGTTCCAGTTAGACCAGAGCGTTACCGCCACCTCCTGCTTCTGTGATGGACGAGACACAAACCCTCCATAAAATCAAAGAATATTTGGCTGTAGGTAGCACTTTCCACAATTATTTTTTCTCTTCTTCTATATTTTCTTTTTTCATATTAATATCCAATTTTTATTTTTTATTTTTATTTTTTTACATCCAGCTGAAAAATAATCGACCAGAGCCAATACATCATAAAAATGAGCTTGTTGCTAATACATCATAGTATATTAGCCTAACAGAAACAAGGTACAAAATACTAAATTATAGGTTTCCAGAAAATATGTTTTATTCTACAACTGTAAAAAGTCTTATCCACAGCATATGCAAACAACAAAAATTCTTAATTGAAACTATTTGGGGAATATTTTTGCTAGGAATTTATTATTAGCTGATAAAAAATAACTGAGAATTTTGCTACCACACTGAAAAGCAATTTTAATCTTGGATAATAATGTTAATCAAGTAAAGAACAACTTTTGAAGTGTTTTCTTCGGTCACATGTGGGCAATTCACTACACACAACTTACACACAACCAATATAAAACGCTTGAAAGGAGATCACTGAAATTTTTTTAAAATGACACTTTTTTATTTTTTGCTTTAAAAGACATAAACTGTAAGTATTAAATCAGATTCAGAGTGCATTGAAATCTTTACAAAATGAATAAAAGTCACAGATCAAAAGTTTCACTATTGTTTGCCGTGCTTTTGAGGATTTGTTTTCCCTGATGTGTGTTTCACATAAAAAATAAAACACTCTCCAAAATACACATTGCCATGAAATGACAGTGCTTTAATCAGCAATAATCCCTTTGAGAGGACAAGTAAAAGAGGCTTTAAATAAATGTCCTATTGAATTAGTGAGGTAGAGGTACCCACAGTTAATGTGCTGTGAAAATACAGGATTTGGCTAAAAAGACGCATTCAATCATGTCATGTCCCAAAATTAACCTTGTCGCTTTTAAAATAATCAAACATGATGATTTTCATTCATGTCCTGATCTGGGACTCGTTCATCAGTGAGTCTAGTGCAAATGGATTCGTTTTGTGCAGCATGGAGTTCCCTTGTCATCACAGTAAATCCTCTTTAGTGTAATGTCCCCAGTGCAGTTTGTGGTCAGACTGGCCGGTTGCATTCAGGATGGGGGTGCTACTGAATTCCACGGTGCAGGGCTTGAGACTGCAGGGCGCCCCTTCCAGCTCCAGGATGGTCACATTGTTGGGTGCAGTTGTGCTGAGGATGTTGAAAGGGACAAAAAGTGTCACCTGAGGACCTCGGGTCGGCCAGTAACGTCCTAAATTGAAGCCATTAATCCAGATTTGTCCCTGAAAAACACAAAATCAAAATGAGAAATGAATTGCTTTTTTAATTAAAAAAAAAAAAGAAACAAAAGAGTTCACAGAGTTTAAAAGAGTTCATTACACTGTCCTGAAATTACAAGTGTAAAGCTTTACTGTCATAATTTAATATCTTAAAATTTTCTACTGATTTAGAAGCACTTTATCTACACGTAAAATGCAATCAAATTGTGAAAAATACCACATCATTTAAAGTTTCTAATGTTCATCATGACATCTGAATGTTAAGCTATTTTTGCACAACCATCCACAACCAAATAATATTAATTTATAACAATATACAGCAAAGAAAAGCAGCAAATCATTGCATCTGAGAAGCTGAAACAGCACATGTGTCCTATTTGTGCCATATATGACTTAAATTCATTCTTAAATTGGTTGAGGATTTGTTTGCTTTCCATATTCTAATCTATACATCATTCTACTGTTCAACACTAATTTAAAATGTATGACTGCAAGATCATGAAAAATGAAGCATTGAGAAGAGTTACTGTAGAGGAAAGTGGTTAACGTTCTCTTTCTTATGCTGAATAAAACATTAAATCAACAGCTCTCAGTTCAATCTAATTGTAGATTGTGGGTCACATGCCTTCCTCCAGTTGGGCAGCATGATGTAGGTGTCTTGAGGGAGGGATGGGATGCCGTCAGGAATGATGAAACTACCACCATAGAAGGCTGGAGGGGAGAGACCAGCGCCCTGAGTTGGACGTTTTGGTGTGAGCTCTTTTTCCCCAAGGAGGCCCTGGTTGACTGCTTCATCGATACTGAGACTGTACATGATCCAGTCGGTGAGTGTGTCCTTCCCAAGGGTCAGATTGGACAGCAAACCCTGAGATAATAAAACAGAAATCAGAACTGACATCCAAACTTGTCATGAAGTATTAAGAATTTTTACTTTACAGAAAAAAAAGAGTTAAAGTAGAAAATTTGACTTTGAGCTACAGCCATGTGAAAAAATAATGTCATCACTTGAGAAATTGCTGCATTTTTCATGTAAACCTCTGATCCTGTTTGAAACAGTGTCTACAGATAGACACTGACTGACAAAGACTGATCCATTTTGTACTAGATAGGAACTGTTTAAAAAAGATAAAGTGTTTGCTTTGTTTGCAAGAATGTCTGTGAGACACACTTGTTTTTTACATGACTGCATTCCTAATATCTTTAGCCATTTAAATACCAATAAAGACATGTGGTAGTTAAACTGACGCCTATATTTCAAATGATAAATTAAAAAAAGAAAAAGAAAAAGAAAAAAAAAGAAAAAGAAAAGACCATAAAAACTACAGAAAAAAAAAACCTTTGCATCGTTGATGTATCCTCCGTAGTTGAGTCGGCCCATATTCTCCACCAGTATGTCAACCTGACTGCCAGCCTTCCCAGTCACATTGATGGTAATGACTTTGTTTCTTTCCAGAATCCCCACAGCCACCTTCAGAAATCATATGCATGGTTACATAGACATAGACATCACTTTAGAAATAATCAGATAGGGATGTCCCTAGTGATTGAATATTTTAGTATCTGCTGATCTGATTTTGCCAGACAGCACACACTTCAAGTATTGAACTCATTCGAGATGAGCCAGACCTGCCCAGATTTGATCACCGGCGATCAAGGCACAATGCATGCTGGTTAGATTTCTGTCTGACTCGATCGTGACTTGCTCTGACATTTGAAGAGACACAGCTCACCTCCAACAAGCCTATAGTAGATTAGCTGTAACCAAGTACTAGTGGTAGTACTGCAAACAGTAACACAGTAACAGACACTCAGACGTCAGACAGTTCTGTGTTGACAAGCAGAGAGTCTTGGTCATGGGTTTAGCTACTGAAGGGCCAAAGATGACAAAGACATCCGTGATGCTTAATTACGGAAGCGCTGAACTGCCACTCATCAAAAAAAACAAACAGACGAGAAAAAAAAAAAACGGATCAGTATCTTCCTATAACAGCGGGCAGAGCACGGATAAACGGAGGAATATGGCTCATTTACATGATTTCATTAAATTCTACTTCATGCTTAGGTTGAGACATGGTGAGATTTCATATGCCAGAGGCACTCTTCTGGCACACTACGATGTTGTAGAAACTTCAACAGTGGGGCATTGCTCAGGGCTGCCATGGTGTCGCCAGCTGCCACTGTAACGGCCAAGTGCCAGTTCACAACCAGAGCACAGGAGTCCTCCTCCACCGAGACCAACATGAAACTTTATCACGTTATAATGAGATAAAAAAGTACCTTGTTATAACGAGAAAAAAACGTATCTCGTTATAACGTGATAAGTTAGTATGTTGTTAAAACGTGATATCTCGTTATAGCGTTGAAACAATTTCTCGTTACAGTGAGAAACTTTTCAAGTTATAACAAGATACTGATCTGTTTTGTTTTTTGTTTTTTTTTTTGAGTCGTGACAGTTCAGTGCTTCCATACTTAATAATCACCAGCAAATGGGATTTTTATCCCAGTGGGACATGTAGCAAAGCTACCTTTGTAGCCCATATCATTTCTCCACTGACTAAAACAGCAACATCAGTGCAGGGAAAATGTCTTTAAGGTTGGAGTGGGACATCCCTACAATCTCAGACTTTGGTGATCAGTGCAAACCAGCTTGTTATATGATGCTTCTTTTTTTTTTTTGACAAATTATAATATCTGACAACTAAGATAAGTTTTTCGTCTCATCAAAAAAAGCAGCTGTAAAAGAGTTTAATAAAATCTCACTGAAAAAGTGCACATTTGTGAAATAAGGCTGGTGCTCCAAAAATGGAATTGAGGTTTAATACCTAGCTTTACTTTTAACTGACTTAGTAATGACATATGGTAAAATATGTTCAAATCAAGAAGGCCTGTGTGTGGACCTGCATATACCACCTGTTAAAATAAACCATGAAACAAACCGACTCACCCCATCCACTGACACATACGCTCTATCGTGGACTCCGTTCAGTGGGGATGACAGCGGAGTTGGCGTGGTGCAGTTAACAGGCAGAGTGGTCCTATAGAGCACGTACCCAAACGCCTAGAGGGCAAAACGTAATTCATCATCAATAAAATTGCTACTGCTGGAAAACCAGGGGGAAAATGCAACAATTACTAATTCACTTAATTAAAACAGAAAATACTGAAGGATACCTGATTCAAGTCGATGAAAGTCTGAGGATACACGCCTTTGACAGGACCAGAGAAAGACAGTTTTTCTAAGGCGTCTGATAAAGTCTGGAGCTGCAGGAGGCATGAGATAACATTGTACTATGTAATCTTCATGATAGAAGTAATAAGTCAACACTCATTCATTGTCAAGCTGTCAGAATTCTGTAATATAGTGCTAAAAAGTCAAGATTGAATGAATTAGAACACAGTAGGACCTTCTATAAACCAAAAGACATCCCAGCACCTACCTTCTTCATTGGAACGACACCGTATGCATACTTTGGGGTTGTTGGTGGTATTGGTCCCTCTGGTATCTTATGGTACTGTTGTGGGAAAATAAATTAGTTTTTCCAGATAATGTATACTGGAAATAAGATTAAAAACAATGACTTAATGGAGGAAAATGTTAGTGTACATTAACAACACACTGTTAGTTTCACTGCCAAATATCGGAGGCTGCAAAAGCAAAACAAATTGTGTTTGTACCATTTTGATCACGTCTCGAATGGCAAAGTATTTCTCTGTGAGGTCTCCTGCTTCCGAGAGCGGGGCATCGTAGTCGTAGCTTGTGGGCTGAGCGTCGAACGGGTCATTGGCGCCTGAGGGTTTTAAGACACAAGTAAGTTCCTGAAGTAATCATTTTGGAAAGACACAAGTTACTATTACTTTCAGGGTCAGAAACAACAGATGCATTTATAGGGTGCTTGATTTAGCTTTTGTTCATCTTTATTCCTATTAATAAGAATGTGCATAATAAGAAAACAGATGAAAGTAGCCACTGCTGTCTGCTTCTTTAAGTTGAAGTGAGAGAAGTTTATGATATTGCACCACATTTCAACAGAACAGCATGAACACCAGCATCTTTATTTAGATGAAACAGTGAAGAACCACCCTCATGCATGAATCACACGTCAATAATAGCCTAAAGTTACTCATGATCCATGACGATGAAGATACAGAGAAGTAGAAATGCACGGCAAAAATAGCATTTCGTCAGTATTTTGGAGACCTCCAAACATTTCACCAATCTTGGTTTCTGAGGAGCTCTTGTTTTATTGAGGAGGTGCCATGCTTATCTTGACTCTGTAGTTTGCGTTATGCGTGAGTCATTTGAAATATTATCATCTCATCAAACCAGTGTGAAAAGGGAACTCACCATTCCAGTATCCAAAGTTTGTCCCTCCTATGAACATGTACCTGTGAGAGGAGGAACGAGGGACAGAAATAAGGAACTAACACTGTGAATTACACTTCAACCTATCAAGACATGAGCTTTATTAGTTTTTCTTGTCCACAAAAGGTTTTGTGCAGTTGCAGATGTACAGTAATAAACTAGGTACCAATAATTTTGTTTGCTATTATATTGATAGAATAATTTATCAATCAATTTGTAATATTTGCTTTTTCTTCCATAGGGGTGAATTCCTGCAGATGTGATTGAAACCAGCCTGAACCACAGCACAGACCTTTGGCCACTCGCAGTGATTCATATACGAGCTGTGTAGGAAAGTTCCAAGACTGGTGTCACAAAAGATATATTTCAAACCCAAACTACAAACTATGAGTTTTCCCCTTCAGACGATCAATCAGCATGTCTACATAGACATCCTGCGGGTTTTGCTTTGCTCACTGTATAAGAAGAGGTGAAAGCTGTGGCAGGACAAGTCGTGGCTGCTTCACCATGACAACGCGCCTGCTCACAATGTCCTCAGCATCCCACAGTTCCTGGCTGAGAAGAACATCGCCGTGCTGGAGCAACCTCCCTACTCACCCCACCTGGCTCCGTGGGATTTTTCCCTCTTCCCCAAGCTCAAGGGGCTCATCAAGGGACTCGTTTTGAAGATGTGGACGACATCAAGATGGCTGTGACGACGGAGCTGCGGAGGATCCTGAAAGAATCCTTCCAGGAGTGCATGGCAGCGTGGCAGAGAAGGCTGGGAAAGTGCATTAGACTCCAGGGAGATTACTTCAAAGGGGGAAACTTGGAGTTTGTAGTTTGGATTTGAAATAGATCTTTTGTGACACCAGTCCTGAAACTTTTCTGACACACCTTGTAAACTAAAAATTCCATAGTTGGTTGTCTGTTGTCTGAGTTGGAATGTATGGTAGCTATCCTTGAAATATGATAATTTTGGAATTATTTAATTTAGGTAGCATTTGACAAATTTACATTTTAACCCAGGATGGAGTAGGGTAATAGGTTAAGGAATCAGCAAAGTTATTACAATTCACCTTGATGGCAATTTGAATGTTTTACCCAAATTAAATGCCAGCCCATCCAACAGCGTTGTTGTTAATCTCATGGTGACACAACAAGAAAAATCAGGACTCATCATCTTTGGACCACGAATGTCTGTTTAGAATGTTACAACCGTCTTTGCAAAGTAGTAGAGCAACGTTGGCAGCTCTTGTGGTGAATCTGTACATCTGTTATACCAATGTTATGTCTTTGTCCGTCTGCATCAGTGCATTGAAACCTTTCATAGGAATCTGTAGACTCACAAGTTAACATTTGCTCCCCTCGCCAGCATCTCACTGAGGGACTTGGCCACCGCAGCAGGCGACACGACGGAGTGAGCTGATCCCCAGTGGTCCAGCCAGCCAGTGTAAAATTCAGAGTTCACCTGTGAATCAAGAAGCAGCATTATGAGCAGCACATGAGAGGAAAAGTGTCACGCTGTTTAAATTTAAGATGTACAGAGAGAGATGCTCACCAGAGGTCCATGAGGCTCAGCGTGTCGCTGTGCATCGAAGGCAGCGGTTATATTTGCCCCTAACAGAATCAAAAGGCAAAGACAAGCAAACACTTATTTGTGCAACTTCCCCCGTGACTTCTGACTAATCTAACAGAGGACATTGAGTCAGAGTAGAGGAGAACAAGAAGCGGATTTAAATCTGAAAAACTTAATCCAGTGAACCTTGATGTGTATTGTATCTCTGTTAAGTTTAAATCTTAGCTTATCAACACACTATATTGTTTCAGCTTTTAGTGCTTGTATTTGTGTGTTGCTTTATTGTTTTTACTGTTTGCTGAGTAGACAATGACCGGTACCTACCTGGTCCAAAGTCAACAGTAGCATAGAGGCCTTGTATTGCACCACACTTAAGGTAGCCAACTCCAGCCCCGTCTGTGGTGAACAGCACCACCTCGTCACCCAAGTGGGACCGGAACAGCTTGGACAGGTGGCGCATGTAGTTGTAGTCACAGGCGAAGTAACTGCCGTATTCATTCTCCACCTATCAGCAATGGGTACGTCATTAGTGAGATGTTAATTTCTCCCATCAAATTAAGTCCTGTATTGATATGTGATGTTCGACAACAGGTACAAACGTGCAGAAATGAGCTCCACACTCACCTGCACAGTGATGATGGGACCACCATTCTGATAGAGATAAGGCTTCATCATAGGCAGTAGCTTCCCCATCCATTTATCTACAGCTGTGATGTAATCTAGAAGATACAAATTACAACGATGTGTATGCTGCTGTACACTAGTTGTGTTGTTTTTCCATCACTCACCCTCTTTGTTTCTCACCTGGATCTGAGGATCGCAGCACAATGTTTTTCTTGCTGAGAAGCCAGGCAGGCAGACCACCCTAGTTGACAGGATTACACCAAGAAATAATAACTAAAATAAAAATATACCACATTTTACAAAATTCAATTCTAGCTTAATCTTAAAAGGGATACTACTTTAGATTCTTTTTTTTTCTTTCTTTTTTTTTAACTCAAATGATGCACTCTGCTGCTCGTCCGTGTGCTCACACTTTCCCCATAACACTACTAAACACATTTTCTTAGATTTAATTACAGCAATAGCACATTATAGAAGTAGTACACCTATGACTGTAGTTTTGGCTCAGTGGACAAAACTGTTACACTGTAGGATCCAATCATCCACCTAATATCATATCATCCTCAGTTAATATGGGCTGACATCCTTCAGCAGAGTACAAAATACATTTTTACTATAAGATCTCCGAGTATATTTCTGATGCTCAGTTTCCTGCATGACTGAGTAGCCTCGAAACACAAAGTAAGCACATTTACTGGCAGCCTCCCTCACCATGTCCCACTCCCCACATATGTAGGGTCCTGGCCGAAGGATGACCAGTAAACCGATCTCCTGGGCCAGCTTCAGGAAGTACTCCACATCTCTGTCTCCACTAAAATTGTACCGGCCTGGAGACTCTTCATGGTAGTTCCATGGAATGTACCTGCAAAGTGTACTGAAGTGTCAGTATTAGCCGAACAAAACACTGGAGCAAAGTTCTAGCAAATGAAAAAGTCTGACAAATGAAGAAACTCCTTAGTTCTTTATCAAGATAACTGTGAGCTTAATTCACAGCTAACTTTCAATACAGAATACTTTGCTTCTATTTCATAAATCATTTACTTGTGAAAGAGCTACAGATGTAAGAAAATATCCACACACTTGAGTATTGGGATGTTTTGTTTTGTGATACTGCACTCTCAAAAGCACTGTGTCAATTCTTAATTAATGTTCATGCATTGCTCAAATTGCACAAAAAGAAGTGCTATGATGTTGGATGTTAGAAGGACAGTGACAAATACAAATGTAGATCTCACTGTTCTGACTGCATGAAAAAGAAAAGTTGCTTTCACCCAGATTTTACACATATCATGGTGTGTTCTCTGTTAAATAACAAGTAATAAACTCACCATTTAGGTCATTAAGCATCATAGCAGTAGTAAAAATGTGCATTTAAACATGCACATCATAATTTTTTCAACTTACATTATTATGAAACAGAGAAAATCCAATTCTCATATTTGGGAAACTGGCAGTTGTGGATCTTTTACATGTTAGCTTGATAAAACTAGTTATTCAAAAATAGTTGGATGTTCATTTTCCTATTCATTGATTTATCAGCTGATCCACCTACTGGTTTTTTCTTTTCTAAACGTGACTCTTCACTCTAGCGCAGCACATGTGACTCCAGACAAACAGAGAGTTTAGTGATATAAAAATCTTTTCTTAAGCAATAATCGCCTAACCTGAGTTTCAAAACTCTTCAGGTTTTTATAATGAAGCCATCTGGAACGTGGAACAATCCCAAAGACACGTGACTGAAATAAATAGAGTCAGAGTAAGACTGGAGGTGAACCTACGTCTGGATGGCATTCAGTCCTGCCATGTACATCTTGAGCAGCCGATCTTTCCAGTAGACTCTGGGGATCCTGCTGTAATGGATGCTTCCTGATATATACCGAAACCTTTCTCCATCCTTACGGAAGCAGTCATTCTTGTAGTCCAGGCTGAATGACGGAGATGCCCCGAGCTGCAGGTCAACACAACACAATTTGACTCAAACCTCAATCTATAAGCACTGTAGTGGTCAGAATTTGTGTAAAGACAAGTCAGCACATTATGTTCCATAAAGATTCATGATTTTATGGCACAGAGCTGACACATCAGCTGATGTCAGATATGGCAACCTCATTGGGGCACATAAGGTGGTGCATAATATTTCAGTATACAAACTTATAAAACGTTGCTGTGTGGAAGGGGTTTTAAGCTCTGATCGATATTTACATTTAAATGTGAGATATGTACACACTTATGGAAAAGTTGTACCTGTGTGCTAAACAAGAACACACAAGAAATGAAAAGTTTAACATTCACCCCAGTTTTATCAAGCAGTACTGATGTGAACAAAGCATTTGTCACCAATGTGGGAACAATGACGGGTCCCAGTTCTGCGTTTTGAATTCTGGTGGCGAAGCTTTACGTCAATCCACTTCTGCTATCTGTTTTGGATGTTCGTGTACTGAAAGTGCAGAGTTGTGCGTAAAGGCTAATCCTTCAAACCAGAGTTTGAAAAACTTTAAGTCAACAGTGAAAACAGATTTACTCACTGATTGTCCAACCAGGAGCAGCAGCATCATGCAGCCAGTTCTGAGCGGAGACATGATGAATCCTCACACGAGCCCTGTTTTCCCTTTCAAACGAAAACTTTTACCAAAACACTTCGACATTCAGCAATACAGTCCTCTACAGTCTTACTTCCCTGAGTGTGCTATGGTATTTTGAATGTGTGCAGGATCATGAGTTACGGAAGTAAATCATGTGATAGGATGGTAGCGTACCCAGGTGTATCCATCAGTAGATGGCAGCGTTGCGCCTTTTACGCACGAGGTTTGATGGTGAGCAATGGTCACAGATCAAATTGTGGTCTAAAAGTTCAGTAAATGTTAGCAGGGAAAATGAATTGTATTGAGAAAAATGATAAAGTAGCCTTTTCAATTGAATGAAAAAGCAAGCTGTTTGAAAGAATTATCATTTAAAATAATAATAATAATAATAATTATATATATATATATATGCCTTTCAAGGAATACAGTGATTTCAAAGTGCAATCTAGAAAGTGAACAATCAACCACAATAGGTAAATGTGAACAGAAACTTGATGCAATTGTGATTCGGTACAAAAAAAAACTTACAGCCACTGCATCTTAGCCATTTGTATAACATAACAAAATAGATATGGATTTAAACCCAATGGTGGAAACAGTAAGGCAAAGCTAGAGGCTACTGTGAATCAGTGATAAAACATGGATTGTTTGGGCATTTTGACCAATGAAGAATATTATTTAAGCAATGCTAATGGTAATTTAAACCATTTAGTTGGACTATATTCAATGTGCTATGTGTGTCTTGTGTCTAAAAGAGAAAGAAACCATTTTGCAGGCTTTTATTTCGTCACAGTTGGATAACTGCGTCAGCCTTTTTACTTGCTTAAACCAAAAAGCTACTGATCAACTCCAGATTAAACAGAACTCCTGTTTTAGCCTCTTTGCAGTCTCTTTATTGGATCCCAGTATGTTATAGGCCAAATTTTAGGATATAATAGATTCCTTTTAAGACCTTTCATGATCTCTCTCTCAGCTACATCTCTAACCTTATAATACACCATGGTAGATGTCCCTTTTACGCCACATGCTGCAGCTTCTACTACTGTAACAAATACACACCTTTGAAGCCTCTTGCTCTAACTATGTATTAATTAACGATGTATTAATAATTGAAATTATGTTTTGATTGTATTTGTGAAGTAAATTCTTCCCTGCAGTTTCCCTCCTGACCTGCTGGCGGCGGTAATGCGCTGCTGTGTTGTTTATTGTCCACTTTAGTTCCGGAAACAGAGTGACGTACACAGCGCTGGGAGAAGCAAACACACGTGGGTTCAGAAGTTTAGTACAGTAATGTGCGTTTAGTCCGTTTAATTAGAAAATATGCCGAAGAGAGCGAAGGCCGCGTCAGAAGAAACCCCCGCGTCTGAAGCAGGACCAGATGAACCGCAGGACGAGGAGCCTCCGATGGAGACCAGACGGACCCGCAGCGGCCGCAGAGTGAGAACTCCTGCCGCGCTGCTGGACTCTGAAGCCCCGGTGAGGACTCCCAGCCGGAGGACCAGAAGGTCTGTTATCCAGGAGCTGCCGGCGCAGGAGGAAGAGCAACACACGGAGGAATCAGAGCAAAAACCTGAGATTGTGGCGGAGGAGACGTCCAACACGGAACCGGAGCCGGGCGCCGTGTCGGAGCCCGCAGAGCCGCAGACTGAGGCTGCAGCGGCGGGTACAGACGAAGCTAACGGCGGCGGAGACGGTCCTCTGTCCGGGCTTGCACCGGCAGAAACTGCGCCCACGAGTTTAGAGACCGTCCCGAAGAAGAAAGCTCGTGTGGCTCCCAGTGGGAAACAGAGTCCAGTCATTCCTCTGGGAAAACCCAAGTCAGGAAGAGTGTGGAAGAACCGCAACAAGCAGAGGTGAAGAAAGCCAGCAGCCTGATCCAGTGACGAGCAGTGATCTGATGTTAGACATGACAGACATTTAACTGTATTTTATGTTTTTAGTTTAAAGGAATATTCATTTAAAGTTGTCTGCTTTAGGAGTTATTCAGCATGAGATGTTAAAGAGAGCTCATGGGCACCTCTGAGGTACAAATAGGAGAGCAGATAAATAAGCAACAGAGACCCCCCAGTTTAAAAAAAAAAAAAACATAAACTGTAAAATGATTCTGAAATGGATCAAAAGCTGTACATGAATCCCAAAAACCTGTATTGGAATTTACCTGCTTTCTCAGAATCTCCTAAATACTTTATTTTAGTGACAACAAATCGCACATTTATAGAGCATCATAGCTGGGAAGAGAGTTTGTGTTAAGAGGCCACATGTCACTGGCTTATGTTATGAACAGATTAGGTTATACATTGGTATAAAACAATCTGACAGGACATAGCAACTGTATTGACCACCTCTCTATAAGCAATGTGGATCCACTGGAAGAGAAAACACAGTTTAAAAATGTGATTTCTTTCTTCTTTTTTGTCATCCAGGTTCTCTGCGGTGGTGAGGGACAAACCGTTGTGCACCTCTTGGGAGAAGAAGATGGTGGCCAGGCGGGAGAAGGAGTTTGTTAAACAGTATGCTTTGCAGCTTAAAGAGGAGAAAGCCAAACAGAAGGAGGTAGGCGACAGCTGTGTGATCACCGTCAGCTTGTAACATAAGTCCATTTGCACGTCTTATGTATTATGTTTGACCTTTCTTAATAGGAAAAGAGGAAAAGAAGAGAAGAAAACTTGAAACGCCGGGAAGAGAACGAACGCAAAGCAGAGATTGTTCAAGTGGTGCGTTGGCAGTTGTTCACACAAACACAGTTAAACAGGTTCACAATAAGCTTAGTGGATCAATAATGTTAGTAACTGGAAGGGTTACTGCTACCATTATCAAGCATAGCATATTCTCAATATAATACTCTATTTTACTATCTAATGTCATATGCACAGAACTGAATACATAAATCAGCCTTTTTTCTAGAGTCTGATGATGGCTCCCACATGCTTTACACTCTTAGACATTAAAGAGAACCTCTAACTAGTGTTAAATGCATTAAATGTTCGGTGAATGATGTTTCTAAATGATCACGTCTGTGCATGAGATAACTGTTCAATCTCTTTTGTCTCTTTCGTATCGCAGATCCGGAACACGGCAAAGATCAAGAGGATGAAGAAGAAACAACTCAGAAAGATCGAGAAGCGGGACACCCTGGCTCTGCTGCAGAAGTCACAGAAGCAGAATGTCAAAACCAAAGCACAGAAAAACGTTCAACAAGATTTAACCTAAAGGCTGTCGGACAGTAAATTCTATCTGTTGCATACTGTTGCCTACATGTCCTGTCTTTGGATGTGTTTGAGAGGATCACTCAAGTTTTTATGAGGATTTATATACACATTAACATAAAACCTTGCTTTGTGAAAAAGTGTAGTTAAATTAAACATATTATAATAAATGTTACATGTGGCTCACTTAAGGCAGGATGGTGCTGAGGTGATTATATCATCTGATGAGTACAAGAAATAGAGCTGCTCTCTGAAAATCACATCATCCGATGTCTTCGTATTAACAGTTTAATGAAATGTGTTGGCACATGCTGGATTTGTAAACTGCAAAATTCTCACAATAAAAAAAAATAAAAATAAAAATTGTAGTGCCAGTATGATAACAGTATTGTATAGTTCTGTGTGGTTTAGATTAACCACAAAGGCATTTTGTATCTTCACTAAAGAGGTGGGTACGTACTGGACTGATGGAAGTTGTCTTTGAGAAATGCCAAAGAAAATATAAATTGAAATGGGAAGCAAAATCAATTAAATATTTGGGTGTACATCTTCCAAAGGATTTGGCAAATTTATTTGACATTAACTATGGCCCCCTAAATTCTAAAATAAAAGTGGATATAAGAAGATGGCATCTTATTCCTTTTCTTAACTTAAGTTCAAGGATAGAATCCGTTAAAATGACTATTCTACCCCACCTGCTGTACTTATTTCAATCGCTGCCGATAGAAATATAAAAACAACAATTTACAGAATGGAACAAACTCATATTGAGATATATATGGATGGGTAAAAAGCCAAGAATCAGGTATAGAACTTTACAACTTAAAAAAAAAGAGTATGGGGGGCTGGGTCTCCCATGCCTGTTAGAGTATTATTATGCAGCTCAGCTTCGACCTCTTGTACGTTGGTGCAACCCCAGTTATGTTGCAAGATGGAAGGATTTGGATCTGGCACTCTCCACTAATGTCCCACTTCAAGCTGTTATTTCAGATGTAAAATTATTGGACTACCTTTCAGATAAGACAAACCCCCTCATTACTTTACCATTGAAAATTTGGAAACAGACTCAAAAGCTATGTACTATACAGGAATCTGCTAAAATATTGAGGTGGTGTGCTTTTGATAGTGATTTTCTTCCTAATTCAAATGAGAAAAGGTTTTGTAGATGGGCAGAGCAAGGTATTACAGCATACTGTACTTTGTTACACAAGGGGGTGCTGAAAAGCTTTGACACAGTGAAAGAAGAATTTAACCTTGAACAACAAGACTTCTACAGATTTCTGCAAATTCGGCATTATGTTGGGACTATAACTAAAGATATCAATTTGGAAAATTTAGAAGACGGGTTACTGAATATATTTGAGACAGCTTATAAATCTGGCAACAACACTAACACAGAGTGTTGGAGACAATGCCAGACTGAAGATGCAAATCACTTTAATGTATTTTGATCATGTCCTGTGCTTAAGGAATATTGGAAAAGTATCCATCAAGCTATTCAGACAGTCATTAGATCCACTGTCCCTTTCAGATTTGATGTTTTGTACCTTTGCAACATACCAGAAGAAATACACTCTAAGAATAGAACCCTCATCAAGATCCTACTGGCCGCAGGTAAAAAAGCCATAACTCGAAGGTGGCTGAAACCTCAAGCACCCTCA